TTTACAGATGAACGCAGTATAGAGCATGAATTTTACTCATCTTCCCTGGCGACATTTTTCCCTCCCATCTGTGATTCCCTCCTGCTGGTCTGTTCCTTCACATCCTGTGTTTCTAGGGAAAGGAAAGCAAGGCTGACAAATTTGCTGCAACCTGTTGATAGCAAGTGGATTTTTCCCTCATTCAGAAACATCTGTTACTCTGAAGGGCTTCATGCATCTTATTAAAGGTAAAATTGAGAGACCCTCTCCACAGAGTGGGTTTGACAAACGAACAACATTCAGATACACCCACAACCTCAGGACTAGAGTGCGAGTCCCTCGGGAAAGGGGAGAAGTCGAGCAGCGTGTGGCAAATACTATGCATAAAGTCAGTGCCCAACGGTTATGGGTTGTTGGATAGATGGCACAGTTATTTAGGAAACTTCTTGATGTAGGATTGACAAATTTCTGTTCTGGAGAATTCTTACTTGTTCTCTCTGCTTGAAGTATGGCTATAAGTTTTCCACTAGTTTACCTATGTGAAATAGTTCAAAGCTAAGTTTACTTAGAATTACATCAACTCTTTTTCCAAAGGTAGCCAGCCTGTATCTGGGCAGGGAATAAAAGTTGTGTTCTTTATTTTATTACATCTTCCGCCCTGGCCGTTTAAAGCTAAAGGCAAATTCTCTCTCTTGAGAGAATTAGCTTTTCTGTTTGTTATGGGTTTATGATACTGGCTAATATCAATAGAAGGAAGTACCTTTTCCAAATTCATGAGTAGTGTTTTCTCTTTAAACTTTAATATCCACAGCTGAATATATTCGGCCTTCAACATGGTCACTAGTAAATGAAATTGTCTTCACAGTTCTCTCAAGGGAGCCAGGCTATTGACAACAGCTCTCTCAAGGCAAATCCTCTTATTTTCCAAAAAGTTGAAATTAATCATAGATGTAGACAAACTCAAATCTAATTCATGTTTTTTAAATGGGTTAATTTGTCTTTATTGTTATTAGCTGGTATTTAGTCTATTAGTGATAAACTTTTCAAATTGAGAAGAAAAAATAGTGACCGACAAATCATTAACCAGAAATAATATGAGAATCAATAATCTGAAAACTTGGCTGTGTAACTGCATTAAGAATTGCATATTTTTCACTGATAAATGTGTTTCTCTGACAAATACATTTGCAAATGATTCCATTCCCTCTCCTGTGCTTTTTCTAGACCCTTTTTGATGGATGATGTTTGTTGAAGTGTATTTTGTTGTTTACTTCTTCCTTCATTAGCACTGACACAAAAAGTGGTTTAGGGGGATGGGTTTGACAGGGTTCTTCCAGATAACTTCCACAGACTGCTGTCTTTGTAGCTGTATCTTATTTTTCCACTATCACCACCACAATTATATTATTATATAAATGCCATATTTTTCTTTGGTGGGGATAAAGTTTTCTTGAAATCTATTTTAAAATTAAAGTATATGTATTGCATTAAATATAATATGCACATGGTACTTTCCTTGGTACTGAACACAAATTACGGCCTCCTCTAAGTTTTTACATAAGATGGTATGAACCTGACTGGGTTTGCACTGACTTTTTAAAATAAAAACGGTGAAGGAACAAAGAAGACAGCAATAAAAAATATAGTTTCCAACTGCTAGTATTTAACAATTTATTATACTTTTGCCCTTTGAGAATGATTTGGCATGGTTTCTTTTTAGTGCACTAGCCAAAAGACTTTGTTTACGTTGAAGAAATAGTAAAATTCTAGTATTAGCCTCTTATTAATAGCATTTGGTATAAAGATGTTACAAGTTACTGGCATTATGTATAGGTTTTATGTTTTTCTCATTTTTCCTTATTAACATAAAAATATATCAATGCTTATTTTAAAATAATGTTAGTAACACCATTTTCCTAAGTGTTGCCCTTTCTGAATACTCAGTAATCAGAATTGCTATGTCAGATTAAGAAAGGTCAGTGGAAAAGATCAGAGAGGAAATGCTCTTGGGACAAGGTATAATGGGTGCCATAAAAAGCCAACAAAAGAAAAAGTACCCCGGTCTTGGTGACCACGGCTGCCTCCAAATGCACAAATAATTTGGCACTTATTTTAAAATGAATTTCAGTACTGCTAATAGAAGTTTTTAATTTTAAAATACATACAAAATGGAACTCTGTCTTGCCTTCAGTGTAGCCATCTAAAATCCATACCTCCATGATTAGATGAGTTCTTACTGAGAAGTTATTGCACTCCCACAAATAGGTCCCATTTTTCTCTAAAATGTTATAAGCTAGAAAGCTATGACCTTCTCAAAGTAAAAGGCACCGTGTGCTGGAAAAAATAGGATAAGAAAAGACATAATCACTGAGTTAGACATAATCTGGCAAGTTAGACTTAACCACTATTTGAAGAGTTATCAGGGAATAGTGGTATAGACTTGAATTTTGACATCATAACGAATATGATCATTCTCCATATGTATGGTCATTCTCATCACATAACAAATATGATAATTCTCATTTCCTACATCTAGTAAATAGAAAATTTCTTCATAATGAACATTGAGAGCTGTATTTCTCTAGGGAGTAAAGTAGATAATGCCCTGCCTTGCCAGCATTAAGTTTATATTCTTATATCATTGATCATTATAAGAAGTCAGTAAATGGATCCTGGCTTAGGGATGTTTGTGTGTTTTAAGAGTATTTCTGGTATGGTGTTTGTAGGGTGTTTTATAAGCATAGAGCTTATATGCACCACTTGGGACAAATTTCTCCTTATTAGGGAAAGAGTTTTCTGAGATGGCGTTAAATGAGTGAAATCTATTGTCTGGAAGCTAAAGTGGAATATGAAGGGGCGTCTTAATGAACAAAGCACTCCTTTCACATCTGGCTATCTCAGGGAAAACAGGAAAAAATTAGAAATTATTTTGAAAACCCTGGTACCTACCATTTGAACTGGGATGCTGTTCCCAAAGTAATGGGTATTTAGTTGAGTGGCTTCTTAGTTAAGATTCATTCATTTATTGGTTCATCAAAAAATAGTGAGCACCTGCCCTGAGCCAGGCACTATTCCAGATGTTTGGGAAACACTGGTAAACAAAGACAAAGATCCCTGCTCTTGTGGACTTAACATGTGCTGAGACACTGGATCATATGTTGTAGTACACTTTCCTTATTAAAACTGAAGAAAGATTTAGTGAAACAAACATGGCCAAAAGCTGCAAATCATTTAAATGTTATATAAAAATATAATTTCAAAGAAATAGCATTAAAAGCAGTTTGGGGAAGGCTAAAGATTATAGAGATGAGCTTATATAATATAGCTCTTAAATGATACTGACTAAATAATACTCAGCCTCCAGGTTTTGGTGAACTAACTTCAGGTTATATATTTGCTATACTGAGAAATTACACACCTTACTTGCCCAAGTGAAAAAAGAACCATACTTAGGCAGCTTTAACTTATTTATTAAATTTATCCCAACCTCTTGGGTATACAAAGAATATAAAGGCACCTAAAAGGCAGAAAGCTGTCAAACAGCTGTTATCAAACTGCCTTTCCTGCTGCTGTTACACCACTTGAAGACCCTAGTGCTGGTGTCTGTTGGTCGTCTTTCCGTTTCTTGTACGTGAAGGAAGCAGTCTTGACAGTGTTCTGTGTTGATGACTGCTTGTCCTAGCTGACTCTGTAGTGACTGTTTGGAGAGACATGAGGGGCAAGGCGGGGGCACATGGAGGCCTGGAGTCAGGTTCAGGCTCCAGAATAGAAATAAAATGCCCATCTTTGCCCCTTTTTAATAACTAAATTTTCTAATCCCTCCCATCCCAAGACACACATACCTTCCCTAATCTTCTAGTAAATCCCATCCTTTCCTTATATAACTATCAAATAGCCCTTTCCCCCGAAGCCCTTTTTTTAAAGTACTACCTCACATATTCATGGGCACTTTCCCTGTGCCATCTGGTCTCTGATTTATGAATTTACTCATTTCACTATGAGTTAGCAAGTGAAATTAGGAAGATTACACCAGCCCCTAAAAAAGTTCCACAGAAATAAGATGATCACGTATCAAGAACAGGTATAATTTAATTTTTCACTATTTGGGACTATTCACCCGTTTCCCCTGCACTGATGTCCTGCTTCTGTCTGCAAATGTAGACATGCAGAGCTCGGGCTGACCACATGTTGCAGGACTTAACACTGTAGCCTTTATGCTTCTCCTTAAAACTCCACAGAGGCCCGGTTTCAGCTAATACGCAAGTAGCTGGATATTCTGTCCATAGTGGGCACAGTGTGATAGCATGTAGGGGAAGAACATGGGACTAAGAGTTCGGTATCATGGCCCATTCTTGGGTCTCAGTTTCATTTGTGAAAGAGTGGGATTGGATTATTTCTGATGTCTTCCAGTTCTAAAATGTCAGTAATGCAGATGGACTGACTCATATAGCAAAGTAAATTACTTTATGACAAACAACCTTGTACCTTCTCTATAGTAAGGAAACCAGCCGCTAACCCTACACCTGCAGACCAGGGTTTTCCAGCAGTGGAGGTGAATGCCACTCCACACGCACATGAACCAGTCAGGAGCTGTGGTTTACCAGCTGGTTGAACTCAGACTCTAGTGTGGCAGCACTAGGTTCAGCTCCCCAAACAGATGTCAAGGCTTTGTGAAAATAACCTCTCCCCTCATTAAAGGAGGTTAGAACCCCTCCTAGTGAAGGACATGTTTAATGACTCAATTCAACAGTATTTACTGAGCACTTCCTAACTGTGAAAGGGTAGTGTTCGTTTCTAGGGGACGGCAATTGTGTCTGTCCATCCTCTCACCTTCAAGGATGAAGGATTCTTACCTTAATCACGAGGGTAACCCCACCTGACACCTTGCATAGGCCCTGTCTCATAGTAGGCATTAGAAATGGATGTGGACCAACTAGACAGTCTCTATGCTCAACAGAGTTCCTAACCCAGTGATGTAGGAGCAAACCTTGTTTGCAAAAAAAAAAATTCATTTTTCACAGTTTTTTTTGATACATGTATTTATTACACTGTAAAAAGCAACACTACCTGATTTCATTTAAAATAAGTATTTCCCAATTTCAGAATACTTACAACTTATAATTTTAAGATTAGATTCACTTTGGGAGGTTCTGGAAGCAAATACATTCATAGCCATATAATCCCCAGGAAGAATCTAAATCCAACGTCAGGTCATTCAGTCCCTGCCAGACAAGAGCATCAAATGGTTGATAGCTGATCCAGCTCGCAGCTAAAGGGCAGTGCGGGCAGCAGTGGGGACAGCACAGAACTGAGACCAGCAGAAACAACAATGTAGACAAAGCTTTAAATAACATGACCATATAGAGCTCGCATGATACAGAAAAAGCACATGTAATCCTCAAGCCAAAACAATAAGATCTTTGGAGTGTACTGGGGGCAGCAGTTAACAGCACAGTCAAAAGCATGGAAACCAAATGCACTCATTATTACCAGCTAACAGCAAACGGCCAGAGCAGGAACTGGCGTATAGTCATAAATAACCTCATGGATAAATAAGGACACATTTTACTAAACCACAAAGATTTTCCAAAATAGTTCTGATCTGAGAAAAGATGAAAACTCTCTTTGTTCCCAAATAATAGTTAGAACCTTAGAACCTCTTTTTATTAGAGAAAAGCCTCAAAATCATTGGTAATCTTCAAGCCACACAATTGAACTGTCCTAATGTTTCCTTTTAATCATACAAAGCAAGCTGCTATTTGATCAGTTATTTCAACTGATTTCAATTAAAGAGTGTCTACCCCATAATATCTTTGGGGATAATGCTGTTCTTCTGCAGCATTTTGCAAATACTACCTGTCTACATGACTTGATGGACTGATCCACGGGGCAGGGACATGGCAGCAGGGCTGCTCGCCAAGCCACCATAATCCCCACAGAAAGACACACCTGAGAAAGGCTTTGTGCCTGGTACAGATCAGTTAAGGAACACTGGCCATGGTTCCACCAGAGGAGGCAGAGGGTGCTGGCTGAAGCCATTGACTTAGATTGGAAGCAAAAATCAGAACACTTGGCGGCTGCTAGGGTGGGCCAGGGGCCATCAGGCATGATACGGCTTGGAAGAAGCAGTGTGTGCTTACAGAAAAGAAAAAAAGGAATTTGCTATATTAATGTAACACCTAGCATTTGTGTAGTGGAGGATTCTGCTCATTCCACTAAACACAGCTTCAAAGAAGTCCATTTGTGTGTGTGTGTATGTGTGTGTGTGTGCGCGCGCGCACGCTTAATATCAGAAGTCCTCATTAACTCCCCTTTACCTTGGAGGTATGATAGGATAAAGTATACGTGCAGTTCCTCCCCAAGACAAATGATGGGTCTCGATTTAAAGTGAAATGGCCTTTTCTTATTATTAAACTATAAAGCCACCAAAAATTATACACTAGAGAACCGGGAGAAAACTGGAGTGATTTAGTGGTCCCCCAAATAGAACAAATAGCTTGAGGCAGACTTTTAATGCCAGATTTAAAAACAAAGATTATTTGTAGCAGTTCCCAACTTTGGTAGCTTAGAGCACTTCTGAATTTATCTTTATCTTTAACCTGGAAGCTGAAAAATATCCTCTTAAAGAGCTGCAGTAGCACATGCCTTCCTTTTTTAGGCTGATGAATTCGACTGCTTTGTACTCAGGAATTTGTCTCTGGTTCATCTTCTGTAGACGTACAGCATAGTTGTAGCTCAGAGGCCAGAAACATGAGGCATTTTCTGACTTCTTGTGGAGAACATGAAAACTGCATAGTATGCCAGCACCCCCTTTCCCAGCTAAAGGAGAGGGGCAAATAGCTAAATGTCTGGGAAGAGAGGCTGGACAAAGGGGATATAGAAAAAGGAAAGTTTTTCAAAAGTATTATAACTACATTCACACTTATGTTTTGGTCACCAAATGTATCTTAAACAGATTCCCTGATAAAGTCTAATCAGAATTGGTCTATTCTACTGACAGCTGTTAACTATTATAATTTTTAAAGAGTCACCTCATGAAGCTAGAGTGTGGGAGACATATTCAACACACAAGCATATACTTGTTCAAACACTCAAACTAAATCTCTATTTGAAGTCATGAAAATCACACTATTTTGCTTCTAAAGACAGCCTTGACCCATTTGGACTGACTGCACAACAGAGCTTAATTTATAAATGCATATCAGCAGACCATCACTATAAAGTGAAAATTCACAGAACGCACAAAAATAAGTGATGAAGATCACACAGTTAAGCTAGCATTGGTAACTATTCTTGTACATCAAGTTATACAATGCACGAGGTAAATATTGCTCACATTATGGAGGGAGATTGTTTTATTTCTATTTTTTCCCAAAGAGATCAGATTTGTCCTGTGCCTACAATGAAGAAAACTCCAGTAACACTGAAATGACAAATGTTGTAAAATATACATCACTACCAGATAGAAATACACACGTTCTTCATAATCATTTTCCACAATTAAATAGGTAAGTGATTTAAATCTTGGGATTAAGACCGTTATAACAATCCATCGAGATTCTTATGGACGGTTTGATTTTCCTTCCCATTGTCGGAGTCTCCTTGAGGTGTGTACTGGACTTGGTACTCCTGGAGGATTTTAAATACATCATGGTGCCCGAAGTGCAGTGCTTCGTCCATGGGAGTGTTATTCCACCTAAGCAAGCACACAGTGTGGACCGGGTTGTTAGGTAATGTTGTACAAAGTTGATAATCCAGCATTCTTAGATTCTAAATGCAGGTTAAGGGGCCAATCAAATTTAGCCATTTTAGCAATATTATTTGAAGAAATGCAGAAAGGGATTTATAATTCAAAAGTGGTCTCAGAGACAACTTGGGATATGGGAAGGAAGAGAAAAATATCTTCTACAAAAGATCTTGTTTCCATATCTAAGTGCTTATGGAGGGGAAGTTCTAGTGGTGACAGATACGATAGACTCCTCTAGCATTCCTGAATTTTAACTTCACGCAAAGCCCAAAGGATCTCTCTTTAAATAAAATGAAGAAAGTTCAGGTATATAACATCCATCACCCTGGCCTTTGATAGAAAATTTGTGTTCCTGTCAATTCAAAATCATAATAAATCTCAGAAGTCTGGAAATAACCCCGACCTCATTAGGGCTCAAACACACATGGGAGGAGCAAGATCGGCCCAGAGGAACTGACTTTCTCATCATCTCAGGTAAGGATGGGAATCCAGGGGCTCCTGGGACCACTACACAACTAGAAGAATAACAACCCTTTCGTTCTCATGCTAAGCGTGTTTCTGGGGCTGTACTATTTAGAGCCATACAGATGAACACTGAAGAGAAGAAACAAGTTGCCGGCAGTGGTTAATCAGCTGACTAGGCTTTTGTAAGAGGAAACAGCACTGTGAACTTCACAGCCCAGTGAATGACAGAGTATGATGACGGGTCCCCGACACTTCATCAACCATGGAGCCTCTCCCATCCTCTCTCTGTACGCATGTCACTTCACGTCTCCATGGCTGCCAGGCTCCTGGACTCCATTTTTTCATGTGCCACTCTCACCACCTCCTGGTTTTCCATCTTTCCCTTTCCTTCTTTCCTCTCCATCTCTGTCCCTAACCTTTTACCTTCTTAATGTGGGGTCACGATGTGGAACTGAAAGGTTTTTAAAAGCAGTGTCACTTGAAAAATGTTTTTGGATAAAGTTTAGCAGCCTGTTCTTAATTTTTAAAATCAGGTAAGTAACACTTTACATATATCTTTGTGTTTCTCAAAAAACAGCTGAATTAAGTTGTATCGGCCTTCGTTAATTCAGGCAGGCAGTGGCCCTAAGTCGGGAGGTGGAGGGACTTTTCTCTCTTTTTCTACAGCATGTAACTATCTGTCTCTTTGGAAAATTGAATGTTAACTGCACGCTACTTTTTCTACAACTCTCCTTCCATAAAATAATGCAAAATATCAACTTTAAAGAATACACTAAATTCACTCAAACCTATTTTACAATTTGAGGTGACACTGATTCTAAGAAACGGAGCAAAGAATTGCCTAGGTTTAGTTTACACTCTGAAATAGTTGAATGCCCAGTTACCAAGTTAGTTACTTAGCTTAACTTTTGCCTATCAGATGGGTACTTCTGCTTCCACATTCCTAGAGGCCAGTTTAGGGCAAAAAACAAAACAAAACATTTCAATCCTTAAATATACAAAGCACAGTCAATATTTCTGGCATGTGGTAGTGTTTTAGTTGGGATTACACACACAGGGATGGGGGGAACGATGCTCTTCAGTTTATTGCTCTAGAAAGAGCTAGTATGGGCATTGCATTTGGAGGAAAAAAGGGAGGACTGTCACTCTACCATGAGGTTTTAGAATACTGCCAATAAAGGTCATTTTAATCATGATGCTTTTGAACATCTGTAAGAATAAAGTTGGATAACCAAAGTGTTATCACAGTGACAAAACTGCTAACAGTTTACAGACACCGACAACATAACCTGTCTGCATTTCTTAAAGAGTAAAACCTTACTGAACGAGAAGTATCTAATAGCTAGAGGATAATCACTTTGCTCCAACTTACTTAATACAGGCCTCAAATAGACAATCCAAACTCCTCATCATACATATCAAACCTCTCAATCAAGTATCTTTTCCTTCCATTCTTCTAAAGCTTTATTTCTGATTGACAGTTTTCCTTGTGGACCCGAAGGAGAGGCCAGGAGCAGAGTATGTTCCAGGCCGACTTCTCCCACTGGGGATAGAGTGCCCTTCTCTTCCTGCTGTGCCTTCAAGTCTTGTCTCTTCCCCAAAGCACTGACTAAAACTCAGCTTCCACGAAGCCTTCTAAAACTGACTCCACCCAAATCCAGAAATTCAACAAACTCCAATATATTTATTTTGGAGTTCTGTAACACTAATTTTCTTACCAGTTTTAAAATGCTTCTCTAAATGTTTATCTTGTCTACCCTGTGTAAAAAGCCTCCTAAGGACAAAATTCCTATTTTCTCTTTCCAAACACAAAGAATTGTTTTCTTCATACTGTGTATTGACTAACCTTCAGACTAACCTGAGAAATTCTACATGAGAGACCATTCTTAGATAAGAAACAAGATATGGGAGAGAGAATGATCTCCCTAGCAGAAATAAGGTTTTGTGTGTCGCCTTTATAAGACATCATAGCAAGTTCAGGAGTGTCTCCAACATACATGGAATGGATTTGAACAGGCCATCACTTGAATATGATAGCCCTGTGTAATAAAATACCGACCTCCCAATTACATGTTAGAAGGTAACACTCATGCTCACCTGTCTTTCGGGAAAGGATTTACTTTGCAGGCTTCCAGCAAAAATTTAACAACTTCAACATGACCTATATCCAAAACAAAACAAGCAGATTTTAGTATTGATTAGAAATTAGTCTGGGGAAAAAAAAAAGATGAGTGGTGTATATATTACCCTCTGCGGCAGCTACGTGGAGTGCTGTTCTAGAATCATAGTCTCGCTGTTCCATATCCATGGCTGACAAAGCAAATCTGAAAATTTGTAAGCATAGCTATTCGTTATATGCAAAGTTTAATTCACACTTGTAACAGTTACTCCATCAGTCCAATCTAAGGTCCTATGAGACAGGGGCCATCCTTCCACCAGGCTCACTCATGGAAACTTGACTCTCAGTTCACCCGCCACAGGCGTCCCAGATAAATGCCATTCACCTCTCTTCCTGAGCTTGGCCCTTTGGGTAAGAGGAGACGTTCACCATCTCTCACAGAATTAAGCTTCATTACATTTTGTTCAAAATTCAAGAAGAGTGGCACAACTATACCAAAATTTGTGCCTCAGAAGGGCAAGAAACTGATATCTATCCTACAGTTAAATATTTTCACTAAGACCTCCATTGTTTAATATTTTACAGTCTACAGTTTACAAGTACTAATCAGACTTTGTGTTAAAAAATGTTTTTAAAGTGCACATTTTTAAATTGAGATATGATGGACATATAACACTGTAAGTTTAAGATGTACAAGGTGTTGATTTAATACATTTGTGTATTGCAATAGGATCACCAGTGTTAGCTAACATCTCTATCACATTGCAGAATTATCATTTCTTTTTTTGTGGTGAGAACAATTAAGATCTAGTCTCTTAGCCACTTTGAAGTTTATAATACAGTATCGTTGATGCAAGTTCTAAGCAGACTTTAAAACAGGTGGAAATTAAGCACAGACATTTTTCCACCTTAAAGTTCAGCTGCAACTATACAAGAGACCTTCTGTTAAGAATACAGCACTATGTGGCCTTTCTAACCCTGGTGATCTGCAGAATGCCAAATGCCCCTATTTGCCTGCTCCCGTTACCTCCAAAGATGGGGAGTGGAGGGTAGATGGGGACTGAGAAGGCATTGCTCAATTCCAGTAAAACACTAATACTCATCAGCTAGACTAGCAGGAAGTTACCACTTGAGAAAACAGACGTCTGGGCTTTCATAGGAGGTAGAAAAGGACCAGACTGCATGGCAAGCCTAACGCGCTGGCAGTGGGGATTTAATAGAAATTTGCTTGGGTCATTTTTATTAGAGGGAAATGGAAATGAGACTTTAGCCTTAAAATGGCTGTTTGCCCAGAAGCAACTTCATAAACATCTGCAAACCAAATGCTCATCCACCCTGTTAACCTACCTTCGAAGTGCAGACACATCTCCAGTGTACGCAGCAAACAAAAGGTTTATCACTGACTTTACCTGTGAAGAAAAGAAAGTTCAGGCATCTGCAGGGGAAAATAAATACATAGAATGTACAACTGTCAGCAGTAAGTGCTTTCCATGTGCTTTGAATACTTCAGCTGGGTCACACACAAAAGTTATCACAAGTACACTTCCGTAACCAAAGAGAATGCACGTGTGTAATAATTCTTTTTTAATAGAGGATTATGAGAGAAAATTCAATAATAAAGATAGGACACATAAGGGAAGGAATGGAGTGATGATATCAACTGGCACGAAAGAATGGAAACTTGTGACCTGTGAAACACACAGTGGGGGCAGCTGAGAATTGTTTATGACCTTTCTCATTTGGCATGTCTCAGCTCTGCAAGCTGACTTGTATGCTGGTGAAACTCACAGTACATCATTCTTAAAAACTAAAATCACGCTATTTAAATGTCTAATCCCTGCCAGCAATCACTGTCCTCAGCAATCACCAATCACTGGCTTCTCTGGAAATCTTAAGAGACAACATTCAGTATTAATCATCTTAAACTTAAGAATAGGACTTATTTCACCGGGAAGAGAGTCTTCAGTTCAATGCTCAGGCAGTACAATTTGGGGCATTCTTAGAGCCGAAGACACTGCCCCTGCTCAGAAGCTGGGGAAACTCCCCAAGTATTGAGTCACTGCTGTCAAATGCTCCAAGACTTCAAAGTGTGTCTTCTTTTGACAATTAGCCACTTTCTTATCCTTATAATTAAAGATAAGGCTACTTACACTAAAGGCCATGGGATTTTGGTCTGTTTTCATAAAGACTTCATCCAACCCTTTTTTTTGAGAAACTGAACTATTGATCATACACTGCTTGTAAATAATCCATAAGTCCCCACTTTTGTCTCATACTTTGCAACTTCAGCTTTCACATTGATGATCCAACTGATTTGGACTCAATAGTAGAAAACAGAAGTTTCAGTGGAGGGATGGAGAGTAAGGAACCCAGCTATCCAGGAACAAAGCCACAGCCCTGTTTGCTGTGCTTTCAAGATCTTAAACTGGACGTTCCCCCTTTCCACTGTCGCTTCCCGTTTCCACACCTGTGAACTTTTAAATTGAACTGGAATTAACCGTTGCATTCAGTATTTTCAAAATGTGGTCGGCAAAAAATAGTCCACAAATGCTCCATGAAAAAAAGTGTCCTGTGGTCAGATATGTTCTTAAAATACTAAATTCCCTTCTTGGAGGTTCATGAGCATACGAAAGGCTCTGTAAAGTTCTGCAGTACAGGAACCTGTCCCTGTCTAACCAGCTGAGCACACCCCCAAAATCTTACTACTCCTTACTATTATTGTTGATGTCACTGCAGAAAACCTTACTCATTCCTTCAGCCCATTAGCTTCCCTTCCAGCTACCCTTTGCTGCTCCTAGCCAGCATATACCCTGTTGTCAATCTCCTGCTAACCCTAAGGTCAGAACAGTCTTCTCTAGTGAGGGGGTGGGGGTAAACTTAACAGAATCACCCAGAATGTTCTAAAAGTATATATAAGCCTCTCTTCCCCCATTTCTAGTCATCCTATTCCCACACCTCAATTTGATACATTTTAAGGAAAACAGTTTTTTGAAAAAGGTCTCCAGGTGATTTTGTATGCACTCTTCTGGGTTACGAACCATTGTTCCAGGTGCCCTTAACTTCTTTCCTTTTTATTTGGATCAGTCTGGAATCCTCAATTCCTCTTGTGCTCTTGGGTCCATAGGAAAACACTGATGGACTGTTACAAATTATTCTCTGTATTTCCAAATGGTCTCTCATCACTGTTCAACAATTTTTTTTCTTACTGGTTCCCTTTCACACTTTCTTCAGGCCTTGTCACCTAAAACAGCTGACTCTGACCACAACTTTACTAAGAAACAAACTCTTCTCACCTTTCTCTCCTCTCTTATGCAAAATTCCTGCTTCTAAAACCTATTTTCTCTTCCTTCTCTCCAAGCCTCAGAACAAAAAGTATCTATCCTTCCTCATTTCTGAGAGTAACTTCTCCACCTGTTCCTTCAAACACCTATCCTCCAGATCCTCTTTGTTTCCAGCACCTTCAACGTTTCCTCCTTCACAGGTTCCCTTATCCTGCCTTAATACAGACACACTTCATCCTATTTTGAACAACCAACATGTAACCCTATGTTACCCCCTTTCAGTGCATATTTTCTGAAAGTAGCTCATATTTTTAATTCCCTGCAGATTACCTTCACACCCACTGTTCTCTCTAAATAGCATCCTCAAAAGCTCCAGCAGCCTTGCTAAGCCCTGATTCTTTCTGATCTCTCCAACATGCTCTATGCCCTCACTCGTTTTCCATCATGCTGCATTACCTGCATCTTCCTCCCATTTGGTGCTTGGCAGAGACATTTTTACTTTCCACTGCATAATAATACTCCAAAGGCAGTCTCCAGCCTTCCTGTTTTGCAACATAATTTCCCTCAAAGGTTGCATACATTCCTCTGTGCAGAATGACTTCCCAATGTACAACTTTAATCTAAATCTTTGTTCCTAAACGCTAACTCTGCAGCTCCACTTGCTTGTCATGCTGTCATTTCAAACTCAAAAGTAGCAAATCTCTCAGCAGCCCTGATGATGCCCCACTGGGCTCCAAAGTTCATATCCATCTGCCTACTTGGCATTGCCTCTAGGATGTTTAATTGGCATCTCAGACTCATCGTACCCAAAGTAGAACTTGATTTCCACTGCCTTCCTGCACCCCCAGTTTGCACCTCTTCCAGTCTCCTTCATTTGGAAATGACACTACTGTTCATCCAGTTGCTCAGGCCAAAAACGGAGTCGTCATCCAGGGCTGCTGCATTGGATTGCACAGGTCGAGTCCTCTCCACAAGGATGCCTGGCCAAGTCGGGGTACCTAGCCTATGCTCCTCTCCTCTCACCCGGCGGTGGTGTCCAGCACTCAGGTCCATCTGATGGGAGGAAGGGAGCCTTCTTCACACAAACGTGCTGAGAGGGTCTGCTTATGCCAAGAGGCAGAATTAGCTTTTTCTAATTCACACAAACCCACCATATAGACCCTGGGGGGGTATTCCTTGATTCTATTTCTCTCTCAACCACATCTAGCTCACCAACAAATCCTCTACCCCAAAACAGATTTGGAATCCCACCACTTCTCACTACCTCCATGACTATGGCCCTTGGCTCTGAGACACTGCCTTCTCTCACCTGGAGGCCTCCACAGCCTCCTAACTATTCCTCTTGTTCAACTCTGCTGCTATAGGGATCTTCTGAAAACACAGACCGTGGCTCGCCCATCATACCTAGAATAAACTTCAAACTCTTTACCATGGCTTTGGGACACTAACTGCTCTTCTCCCTGGTTACATGTGCGTCTCATTCCCTGCCACTCTGCCCCTCGCAGCTCCACTCCAGCCGGATGGCCTCCTTGCTGGTCTTCGGGCACTCAGGGCCTCCGCGTGCTGTGCTGCTGCCAGAGAGGCTCCTTTCCAGGGAGTGAAGAGGCTCCCTCTCACCTCAGTCAGGCCTCTGCTCAAACAGGATCTCACAGACTAGAAAACACTGCCCTCGTTTTCATCACTCCTTATCTCTTATCTCGTTTTTTCTCTTCAGAGCACTTATCATTATCTGACACCATATATACAGACAGACAGATAGATACATACACACTTGTTTCTTGTCTCTTTCCCCCATTAAATGTAAGCTCCATGTGGTCACAGGCCTCATCTTTTCTCTTCCCCACTAGAACCCCAGTGACTACCACACATCCTAAGTGCTTATTAAATGTGTTGACTCAAATCACGTTACACACAAACATATAATGTTGTATGCCAATTATATCTCAATAAAAAGAAATGTGTTGACTGACTAAATGAACGTTGTCTTCCAAAGCATCAAATACTCAATTTGTTACTACTATTTGGGGATTAAATCGTCATCATTATTAATTCTCCTACCTCCCTCAACTTTTACATCTGCAAATATCATCACCAAATTTATTCAACCCTCCTAACTGGTGCCTCTGCTTCCAGTCCTCCTTCCACCCTCCAAAACTTTTCCTCACACTTCTAATCATTTTCTCAAAACACTGCTCTGATCAGTACAGGTTTCTCAGCAAGGGAGTGTCAAAAGACCCCACAGATATTCCTGATAAAATCTAAATTCTTTAGCCTTTCATTTAAGATTCTTCAGTCTGCCTAATTTATTTTTCTCTCTCAACCTCAACAGAGCAAAACTGGTCTTACTTACTGGCCTTGTTTTTGTTTTCTCTGTGCTCCCTTCTCTCCTTTGGGGAAGAGCTAGATTCCTATCAAAGCCTCCCCTTCCCTCAGCGGCTAGCCTGAAAGCCTTTGAAAGCCCCTCCCTCCACTCTCCCCAGGCATCCCGTCCAGCATTCCTTATCCACGTGGCTGCTGCCAGTTGCACAACTAGTGCTTTGCCACAGCATGTGCCAAGGACTCAGCGATTAGAAAGGTTCTCTCCCACTAGAACCCCGAATGTACCTGCTGCGCCTAGGAAGCCACTGAAACCATCTTTTCTCCATCCGTTTCTCACTGCCATCTTATTCTTAAGCCCTCTTCTGTGAGCTCTGCTCCAATCTCTTAAGTCAGAAGTCCTCTCTTTCCCCTACCTTTGCCTCACTGTGGCACTATTATACATGGTATAGTTACTTGTGTATTTTATCTCCCTCACTACTCAAGGGAAATCCGGAATTCTGATGTGCACACCATTCATATAGTAACTACCCATAGTTCTTATTCTTTAAAGTATATTAGTCTTAAGCGATACATCCTTGACCTATTTCAGTGACTGCGTGCATGAACTACGTCCCTTTTTAAAATTCTGAATTTAGACTAGTTTGAAGCTAGTCTGAAGAGATATTATATATAGTGTGTGTCACTTAGTCACTTAATTCAATATTTCCAAAGTTCTCAAAGGACATTTCTTATTTAAAAGGCCCAAGAAAGACGGGTTTTAGAATAAAAGCAGTTTATTCAGAGTATACTAATACTTTGTTCACAAGCAT